TTTGGCTTGCCTTTCTTGCCTGTAAATTGCAATACTGCCAAGTTACAAGTTAAAGATTCTGCCAACTTTTCAGTTTTGTGAGCAAAGTCAGCATACTTTCCCTAAACGGGTAAAGTGTGTGTGTGAACACGCATGTGTATGTGTTTACACTTGATTAACTCAACAACATACGAGACTCTTGTTCAAAATTCCCCAAATCCCACACATAAGCGTGCATGCACACACACACACACACACACACACACACACACACACACACATACCTTTGTGTCTGATCATAACAGAAAATATCAAGCCCAGATTAAACTAAGTGGAACTGGGAGAAATAGTCTGTAGTCATAAATGCTGATATCCGCAGTCATTCACATCACACTTCTTACTATTGTATAATTTAGGTAGGAAGTATTTACCACCCTTCTAGATCTTTATTCTAATGTGACTCATATCACAAATGTGGTGAAGTGACTAGTTTCAGCCTCCATAAAAATAAATTTAACTTCTAGAAAAGGTCCCCAAAGCAAATTGACAGCCAAAGACAACTTCTCTTCAGAAGTGATAAAGGTCATGATGGTAAAGGTCTAGGGACCCATTTAGACTCAGGGATTCTAAGCTGCAGGAGAAAACAAAAAAAAAATGCCCTACAGTCATTAGGAACAGTAGTCACCAGCCATCTAATCAGTCTTTCTCAGACTTTGCAGTTTTTTAAGGGAAGCAAAAATACTTAGATTTTTAATTGTAAATTCTGAAAAACAACTACACCCAGATCTTTAATACCTCTCTTTCATCCCAAAGTTAGGTGAACAGTACACTTAGTGGCAAATAACCAATGCTGATCATAAACAGCCACAGTGTCATTGAAAATGAAAAGTGAAGCTCTGGCTTGAGAAATAATAACTCAAATACATTATCTAAAGGTGTCTCCCCTAGTGCATGCAGCCATTCCAGAGGGCAATTTACCAGATGAATCAAAGGCCTTAAAAAGTAAGAAAGCCATAAATACTCAGACACAGACATACATTCAAACTAAAGTATATTCAATGTAGCACTATTCATAATAGAAAAAAATGGCAAATAATCCAAGCATTTAATAAGAAATTTGTCAGACAAAATATGTTACATTCTTTCATAGGCTATAATGTAGAAATATGAAAATCATGCTATAGAGCATATTATTTAGAGATAAAAGTTAAAAATAAATTAGGATGATATATTTATTTATACTATTTTATAAGATAAACATAAAAGGATAACTACCAGTAACGGCATTATATTTGGATAATGACAGGGAAAGTAAATTTTGTATTGTTCTCCGTGCCTTTCTGCATTTTCCAAACTTCCTACATTTTCATAACCAGAGAAACAGTAAACTAATTTTTTAAGTTAGCCATGTGTGATGATTCTCCAAAAGAAATGATGGGGTTTGTTTTGTTTTGTTTTGTTTTGTTTTTGTCCTGTGCTACCACTCACCCCTAAAATGAAGCCTGAATTTTTCCAGGTTTCCTGACTTCACCTGGGTTCTTTTTCTGATTAAGTAAAGTGAAAACAGTCCTAGAGGAAATTGGCCTATAAGAGTCAATTGCCTCATAAGTTCATGTTCAAAGAAGGCAAGTAGAATCATGAGCAGTGGGGGAAAAAATGGTAATGAAAATGAGCCACTAAGTAGATTATTTACCTTGGTCTTCATTGAAATGTTAGTAAACTTTTTTTCCTCAATTAAATTTTGATTCATTTATTCATTTAATCTTTACTACTATACACCTCTTATGTGGCTACATATCAGGCTTGAGATTCAAAGAAAATAAGTCTGCAAGTCCCTCAGTCTGCTGAATGCCAGGCTGTCCTGATAGTTTTCAGGGTGCCCCCTCTTCCTCTCCCATGCTCTTCTTCACCCATAGCAACCCTTCTTTATATATTGGCCTTTTGTTAAAGTTTCATTTAAATAAAACATTCTTTGACTTAAAAAAAAAAAGTTTAGAAAATTCTGCTCTCCTTTTTGAATCAAGTAGATGTTCCAGAATTGAGTAGCATTCACTAATGGTTTTAATCAAATTCAAAAGAAAAACTGTTAGCCAAAATGTGCCCTTCTACATATAATGTGTTATAACTTACATCATCTATATCTGCTTTGAAGACTTCCCATCAACCTTTCCCACCCATGGCATACCAAATTTCTTAAGTATGTTTGGATCCTTAATCTCTGCCAGTACAATAGAACCTCAATCTTATCAACATTGTCAAGGGTTATAGGGTTGGATTTTTTTGAGACCACATGCCTGTATCCAAGTGGTCTAGCTCTTTTCCCACCCGCTGGTTTCTCAAGATTAAGGAACTTCTTTAAAATGAAGAGTCAGGCCCCACCTCCAGAAAATCTGACTCTACAGAAGTGGATTCTACGTTTTTTAACAAGCTGCCCAGATGTCTTCCAAGTTCAACACTGTTAGTAATAAAGCTTCTAGCTTATCAGAGGAGGCTCAGAATATTGTTAAATCTAAAGAGACCTTGAAGGCTGGGGATGTGGCTCAAGCGGTATCGCGCTTGCCTGGCATGCATGCGGCCCGGGTTCGATCCTCAGCACTACATACAAACAAAGATGTTGTGTCTGCCAATAACTAAAAAATAAATATTAAAAAGTTCTCTCTTAAAAAAATAAATAAAGAGACCTTGAGTTTGTTACAGCACATTTTTATAATTTACTTATTTATATGTCTCTTTCACTGAACTTGGAATTCTCTTTGGATAAGGAGATTGTCATAATCCGTGTGTGCGTGTGTGTGTGTGTGTGTGTGTGTGTGTGTGTTCTACTGTGTTTCATGTTTGATGTTAAATTCATTAATTAAAAATG